AGGCTGGCAGTTCAAACCCACCAGCCCCTCCTCGGAAGGAAGGTTGGGCAATCCTACTTCCGTAGTGATACTGCCTCGGAAACCCAAGGAGGGGTCACTTGAGTTGGGGCCGACTCGACGGCACATAACAACGACAACAACAAATGTGATTACTATTAAGTAGTCAGAAATAGAAACATCTCAACATTAATTAAATAGACAAAATAGAGGTACAGTAAAGATGAAGACTTACTAGAGAGGAGACAGTGTTTCATATATGAGTTTTTGTTGTTACTGTTAGCTGTTTTCCTAACTTTTGGCAATCCTATGCACAATGGAACAAGATGCTGCTCAGTCCTGCGACATCCCCATGGTCAGATATGAATCGGACCATCGTGATCCATAGAGTTTCCGCTGACTGATATTCAGATTAAAGGAAATATCTATTCCTCTTCTGAGGTGTGTCCACTAGTCAGCTTAAGCCATCTTATAGCTAGACTCTCCCGCCTTGCTGTCATTTTGATACCACATTAAATTTGAAATATCTAAGGAATGAAGGGGATAGCCCTGATCCTAAAGTTCCAATTGGCACTTCCCCCAATTGTGGTGTGGCATGAGGAAAATTTGGCTCCCACTTTTTTCCACTGAGGATTTGGCTTTTTTCCAAATTTGACTTAGGAAACAGCCATTGCAATGAATTTGCAGCCTTTTCTTTTTCTATATTGCAGCAAAATGATCCGTCGAGTTCTGAAAGAAATGATTGTTCACAATTACGACCGTTTCTCCAAGAGTGGATCCTCTTCTGCCTATACTGGCTACATAGAACGTATGTAACCCCAAAAAGGATTCTCCCTCCATACCCCAACCCAACTTGGTGCTGTTAAAGCTGCTACTAAATTACAGTTGTTGATTTTCCTGTCATTAGGTGATCCCTATTCAGCATCTACTTATGGCCTTGATATTCTTTATTCTGGTTCCGGCATTCTAAGGAGAAGTAACCTAAACATCTTTCAGTACATTGGGAAGGCTCATCTTCAAGCTAGCCAGGTAACTCATTTTCACTGAATTTTACTTAGTAAAGTATGTAAGAAACTCCTTGTTGTTAAATACCATGAAGTTGTTTTCCACTCATAGCAATGTCATGTGATGGAGCAGAACTGCCTCATAGGCTTTTCTTGGCTGTAATGTTTATGGGAGAAGAGTGCCAGGTTTTTTTTTTTTTTCCTCCGAGGAGTCACCAAGTCAGTTCAAATTACCAACCTTTAGGGTAACAGGTGAGTACTTACCCATTTGTGCCACCAGGGCTCCTTATTTACTATTCAGGTAAAATAAAATATATACTGATGGCAACATTATAAAATATGTATGTTAATGATGCCTTCTATCATACCTCACCTGTCTTGGTCAAGGTTTTGTAGAGAAAGAGCACCATTAAGATATATAGATCTCTCTCTCTTTATCTCCCTAAGGAGAGAAATTTATTTTAAGGCATTGGCTCATGTGATCGTGAGGGGCTAGAAAGTCCAAAATATGTAGGTTGTAGAGCTGGGTAGAGATTCTTACAGTCTTGTGTCCCAAAATCTGTAGGTCAGGTGACAGGAAGAATGAAGAGTGAAGAGGCTAGCAAAATGTCTATTTGTAGTCTGGAGGTAGAATATAACTTCCTTTTTTCTCTTAATGTCTCCAACTGATTGGATGAGGCCCACTCATATTGTGGACAGTAATCTGCTTTACTTAACATCAGCTGATTTAACCACATATAACTAACTACTTTATAACATCATCTAGACTAGTGTTTGACCAAACAACTGAGCACCATTGTCTAGCCAAATTGACATACAAAATTAACCATTACATCATCCATGATTCCAGCAATTTCTCAGAGAAAGTTCAAGTATGAACTCAAAACCTAATTAATTTGATTCACTGGACTTGCCAAGGAACTCTAGTGGTGTAGTGGATAAGGCTGCTAACCTGAAAGTTGGGAGCTCTGGTGGCTTAGTGCCTAAGTCATTTTGACTGCTAACCAGAAGGCTGGTGGTTCAAACCCACTAGCCACTCCTTGAAAGGATGGTTGGGCAATCTACTTTGGTTGAGATACCACCTCAGAAACCCAAGAATGGGTAGCTATGAGTTGAATCTGACTGGATGGCATTGAATTAACCTGAAGGTCAGCAGTTTGAATCAACCAACTGCTCCAAGGGAGGAAGATTAGGCAATCTACTTCCCTAAAGAGAAAGGGGATTAAAAGGCCCAGGAATCTGGACAGAGGAGGAGTTAGCGGCAGGGACCCAGGTAAGGGTGGTATGAGAGGTTTCCAATAGGGAGACAAACTTGTCTGTCGGTTTGTCCTACCATGGTGATGTGTTGATGTGAGTTTTGAGGCTGAGCCACTGGTGTTTCAAACCCAGCGGGATGCACATAGTGCACAGATATCAGCCCAGACTGAAACAAACTAGGAAGAAGGAAGAGGCTGTCTACTTCTCAGAGAATTGGCCAGGGAAAACCTTATGAATAACAAAGAAACACTGTTTGATACATTACCGTGCAACTTTATGAATAGTCCGGTTAGGTTAGAAGGCTCTCAAAATAGGACTGGGAATGAACTGCATCATCTGAGTAAACCCAGTCTTAGTCCCATGGATAAGGTAAAGCTTTCAAGACTTCCACTTGCTGATGTGGCACAACTGAAATTGAAGAGAAACAGCTTCAGACATCCATTAATCATAACATGAAATGTACGAAGTATGAACCTAGGAAAATTGGAAGTTGTCAAAAATGAAATGGAACACATAAAGATTGATATCCTTGGCATTAGTGAGCTGAAATGGACTGGTTTTGGCTATTTTG